TACACTTTAATCTATTAAATAAATGTCTACCAGGAGGTAAGGCCTAACTAATAGCCTCTAATAAACTCCACTAACCAGAATCAATTTATTCATCTTCGTATCGTCAAAGAGTAGAAACACAAGATAGAGTTCTCCACAGCAAAAAACAAAAAACAAAAAACAAAAAACAAAAACTGTTCCGCCGAAATGCATAGTGGAAATACAAACAATGGGACGCCGCGTACGGCTGGATCTAAAACTACTGCCACCGTACATCTGTGAATACATAATCTCCTTTTGCGGAGGTTGAAATCGTTCCCATTATCCATAAGATACAAACAAGTAGACACAAATAAATCAAAACAATAAAATTACAGACACAAAATAAAAAGATTAAATGGAATTAAAGCCCCATTCCCGGCAAAATTTCAATTTTTTTTTTAAATCTAATTTTTGTATAATGTTATAAAGATTTATAAATATAATACGGAATTGCTAGTTTAACTGAATTTAGACATTCCTAAGAATGAAAAAAATGTAAAATAAGACTGAAATTTGATGTTTTGTGCGGATGAATTTTCGTGTTTGATTTTGCGACAGGTCGTGAGAAGAAATATCGTAGGCGCCAAAAACATTAGCCTATCCAACGCTGCTAGGCTAGGCCTAGCCTTACCTCGATTTAGGTTCTGTTATCACACATAAAAACGGCCGACATGATATTTTCCGTGGCTAGTATTGACACTTGTGAATATAATATTTCATAGGAATTATTTCAAATTTGTTAAAAAACTGATTCTGACTGAGATTTTGACACTTAAACAAACATATCTCAACCTAACCGAACGAACGCATTGTGCGAGATGCGAAGTAAAAAAACTAATCTCACTAGAGAGGGCGCACTTTATTGACTGTATAAAGTATACATAAAAACGAGAGTACCTCTGAATTTGCCTAGTAACGATGAATTCGTCGAGAAAATGGTAATATTTTATGAGAAATAGTCTGTATTTCTCATTTTTTTTATTCTTTTGCGTAAAACTAAAATTCATGCCAATATTTTTCCATGATTTATAATAATTGGAGTAATGCAAATGCATATTTTCTAAAAAAGTCAATTTTTAGTGAAATTTTGCCGGGAATGGGGCTTTAAGTGGAAAAAGAAGGGCGCCGTGTGCGTCTTGATATACCTAGCAACAGAAGGGCGCCCTATACGTCTGGATAAGTATAATGAAAAAAACTTGCATTCAACGAAGAGACCTGGACCAATTTTGCTATGCAAGTGCTCAATCTTGTATTTCTGGTATCTTTGGTATCGTGAAAACTGTTGCGAATAGAGTACTACAGTCGTGTCGGCACGACGCCAGATGGCGCTCTCTGTTGTCAACAGACATTGGTTACCGTTCATTACTCCTGAATGACTTAGGCTTTCTGGAATAGGCATTTTAAGATATAATATTTTACAATCAAAATGTACTAAAAACACAAAAGTTCGCATTATATTAGTTATCGAACACACATTTAATCATCAATTAAAATTTACAAAAAAAAAGAGAGTAAGATACAACATCTTAATAATTACGTTAGAAATTGGGATCAATGGTTTGTCAGTGAAGAAAATGGCGTCCGGTTGAACTCTTTTTGCAACGGAGTAGTATCACGTGGTATCGTGACGTAACACTGTAGTACTCTATAGCTGTTCAAAGAATGTCAGTGCGCGTACTACTAACAAAATCATTCTAATGAACACTCACAGAGATCACTAAGCAACCGTCACGGCCACAGCAACCTGGGACAGATTGTTATAAAACGGTCTTAATTGGTAACTCCTCGAATAAAGTTTAAAAACTTTTTCTTGCAATTTTGTCCACTTTCGGTGGTCTGAAACTCTAGATTGCCTGACTATTAGACGGTCTTATACTAAAGGCATTGCTATAAAACAGTCTTCCCTGGCAAACAAGCACTCCCTGGCAACGTAAGATTGAGGGCGACGTCATGCGTGCTCGACGCACGCAAATGTATTGAAATGAACGTAAATAAACGCCGTAGACCTATTTTTACAGACGATGAGAAGTGTGCGGAGTATTGTCGTTCTATCCTCCAACTTTGATGATCTAGGCCTACGTCTTGCCATTGCACTGTTGAATTAATCAGCAGAACGCCATGATGAAAAATGATTTAAGACCGTTCTAAGCCTCCTCCGAGTAGGCTTTAAAATCTAAGACAGCTAACTAGTTAGACCGCGGTATAGCAATGGTCTACTATCATAGACCAGTAGTGACATCACGATTATAGCCGGCTAACCGTTAACACCGTCTAAAGACTGCTTATAGCAATCCGCCCCAGTACTATGGATTTATAATAATACTGTAGCAACCGCTCTACAACCATAAATTGTCCATGATTTTATCACCTCTAAAATTGATTTCTGTAACTCTTTATTGTATGGTACGGAAGCGTATTGCTGCCAACTAAAAAAATAAAATTCAGATATTATCTCGTAATTAGGAGATACTATCTTGTAATTACGTATATATACATATATATATACGTATATGTATATACACGTATATATATACGTATATTTACGTATATATACGTATATATACATATATATACATATGTATATACGTATATATATATATATTTATGTAGATATATACATATGCATATATACGGTATATATACGCGTATATATATTATATATATACGTATATATATACACACGCATATATATATAATACGTATATATATACACGCGTATGTATATACACGCGCGTGTGTATATATGTACACGCGCATGTATATACGTATATATATATATATATTAAAATTAATAAATTCATATAATTATTTTATAGGTTTTCGTATATATTTATTTAAAAATGTTATATTATAATTAAGAAAAAATGGTCGGGCCAACTGGTGCGTTTTCGACGGCCCTGATTATCCCTCGCATGTATAACGGCCGTGATTTCGGTTAGAGCCAAAAATGCCCCCTTGGTCTGTGAAAGCCACAGGTCCCCTGGCCCCGGCGTTACGCTACTCGCTGGAAGGTAGCAGATACAAAGTTCAATGTCATAATAAAACATTGCTT